TAATAATGTCCTCGTGCTTGTACCAGCAATTGTCCAGCAGGAGTCTTGGCCAGAAGAATCATTTTTTATCCCATTGTTTTGCTAGGCTTGTGCATGCATTGCACATATGTATCATAGGTAGAAACATCTATGTATCCAGGATATGGAAAACCATCATATAACACAACCACACATTTTCCAAGACACTCTTCTGTATCATCTGGAACGGATAGTAAAATGTCACTCTCACTTTTCTCGACCCCACCCTTCTCCACCACACCACCTGTCCTCTCCACACTTTTCTCAGCCTCACCCTTCTGTTGTTTTTTCATCAGATAACTACCTTTAACAAAGTAGTCTATTTTTTATGTATATATGTTTTCTTCTAAACTGTGATAAATTTGAAAACATATCTCTTAATATTTCATAAAATTAGAATAGTTAGTGATTGGATAAGAAAAGTTAGAGAAAGATGACCAAATGTCTGTGCTGTTACTTTCAAATCTTAACCAACTTTTTTTTATTTAGCTTGGAAGATTTGTACAACCATAGCCTCTTGAATGCCTGTGTTATTTCAAAGGAATTATTTGTGTTAATATGGTAATTATATTATTGATTGGTTATACTAGGACAGACAGTTTAAGGTGATGATGTGCCTGTGCTGTTACCACGGAATGTCTGTGCTGTTACTTTTTCATCTTCAACAAAGTAGGCTATTTTTTATGTATATGTTTTCTTCTAAACTGTGATAAATTTGGAAACATATGTCTCAATTTGAATATTGAGTGATTGGACAAGAATAGTTAGATAAAGCTGACCAAATGTCTGTGCTGTTACCAATATTTGTCTCTGCTGTTACTTTTAAGTCTTGAGCAACTTTTTTTTATTCAGCTTGGAAGATTTGTACAACTATAGCCTCTTGAATGTCTGTGTTATTTCAAAAGGAATTATTTGAGTTATTATGGTAATTATATTATTGATTGGTTAAACAAGGAAAGACAGTTTAAGATGATGATAAGTCTGTGCTGTTACCACCAGTGTCTGTCCTGTTACATGTTTGAAGGTAACAGCACAGACAGTAACAGCATAGACAAATTGACATTAATTACAGGTTTTTTTAATGAGACCTCCCTTGAAATGTTGAGACCACATGACATTGTGAACAGTTCATATTTTCTAATATTCTGAAAAAATGGTTTTAGAAAAAAATATTTGTTTTGGCAAAAATAAGCAGTAACAGCACAGACATAAGAAAAGGGTATTCATGATAGGAATAAACTTCCCTGTCAAGCAGAATTATCCAAGGTCTTCTCTCACTTGAAGGACACTGCTGCCATGATAGCACAGGAAGTAGGCTGTATTTCTGTTATTTTGAATTATGAGAATCTTGAAGGATTATTTATTTTTCTGTTTTGATACATCCTGGTTACAGGACAGACACTTTTTTATGTACAAGTGTTTCTTACCAAAAACCAATATAAATAAAAGTGTGTATCTTTAAAAGGTAATTTTATTCCATGAGTTAGAAAGGTAATGTACAATATATAAACATTTTTTACATAATATTTTTAAGTTTTAGCAATATTAAACAATGTTGATGTGCAAACTTAGGGTTACGGGCACACCCTTCAGCTCAATTTAACCGCAATTAAGCAGATTTAATTAAAATAAAATACATAATAAGAATTACTGAAACTTAACTTTCAGACACCATGGTATGTTCTACGAAAAACACTAGTGCTTAAACATATCTAAAATAAATATTTTAATTATTATTCAACTCGGACTAAAAATCTCACTTTTTTTTAGAATGACCCATATATATATCGTATATATATACCGTATTCGACGTAATAAGCGCCCATGGCGCTCTCAAAATTAGAAACAGGGGGCGCTTATTAGAATATTATTTTGATGGAAAAAACATATGTAGAAAGATAAATTTCGACATATATAAATACGACAGATATATTTTTCCAGAATTTTATTGACCATAATTAAGGGTGCATATAACACACGCGTGCGTGAATCCAGGTTTGCCCCGATTATGTTTCTAGGTTTGTCAGCACCATACCCGTGCTCGTTGGTTTTCACCAAAGTGGTAAATGTCTAAGACCTGATATAACTGGAATACTGTTAAAAGCGGTGTTAAACCCAACTCACTCATAGTAGCATCTGAGGGCTATTATTACGAACCAGTTCACAATACTTCAATTGTGCTACAAATCAGGTATACACATGGCCACGAGTTTGTTTGTCAAAGACAAGTCAAAATCGAGGAGGAATACTGTTGTTAACTACCAAATATTAGCTCTTGTACATCAACCACTTGTCCAAACTGAGCTGAGCCATAGCGCTCTCAAAATTAGAAACAGGGGGCGCTTATTAGAATATTATTTTGATGGAAAAAACAGAGTTGAAAGATAAATTTCGACATATATAAATACGACAGATATATTTTTCCAGAATTTTATTGACCATAATTAAGGGTGCATATAACACACGCGTGCGTATTATACACGAATATATAAGTCTTGTGTACGTATACATTGATCAATCGGAAGGGGTGCTAATTGGGATTGTTCACTTATATATATTATAATATATATTATCAAATATCGCCGTGGGCGCTTATTAGAGCTTATTATTATATATATATATACGATATATATATGGGTCATTCTAAAAAAAAGTAGTCCATACCAGACAGTGTTTGGTTGTGTGTTTGGTTATTTTGTTCTTTAACGCCGCACTCAGCAACATTCGGAATCGGGTCGGGTGGTCAGGCTCGCTGACTTGGTTGATGCATGTCATCGTATCCCAATTGCGTGAATCGATGCTCACGATATTAATCACGGGATTGTTTGGTCCAGACTTGATTTTTTACAGACCACCTTCATGTAGCTGAAATATTGCTGAGTGCGGCGTTAAACAACAAACAAACACCACCACCGTGACGCCGTGTATACTGTCAATGTTAAACAATGGGAGGTATAGGACAATAGTCCCCAAGACGTTCTGCGAAACGAGGGCCTACTTCCTGCGCGGCATTGAACGCCCGGAACACATGCTGGACAAAGAACGAAGTACTGAGAGCTCCTCCGAATGTGCTGCACGTACAAACGACCCTCCCAAAATGACCTTGACCTTCCCCTCGTTGCATCTCGAATTGTCTTTTGCCCTGTGCTCGCCAATGCTTCACTTCAATGATAGAAAACTCACTTTGGGATTTTTTATAAGTTGATAATGCATATAATGCATTGTGTTAGCGATGTGATACATTAAGCCAGAGACCATATACCGGTATATGATCTCGGACTTAATCCGATCAACTTGCTATCACGATCCAATAAATATGCAAATGAGGTCAGTTAGCAGGAACTACTTTTAGTAAGCTCCACACATCGACGTGATAACAACTTGCATTCGTCACCACTCGCCCCTTTCCGTAACCTGCAAGAAGACTCGTCCCCCTATCGATGAATGTTATTTGCGAAAATACGACAAACCAATCAGAATGCGCGTATGATTTCAAGTTCTTTGTCAAAGAATCCCTCAGAAATAATATTTGATTTTACATATGTCTTGCATCTTAAAATATACCCAAGCCACAGTTAAATGTGTTCAAACATACTGTATAAGTCCGCATGTCCAGATCTGCTTTAAATTGTATCTAAAATATTTATAATATACGGGGAAATATGTGTGAACCATTACACAACGAGTTGACAATTGTTTTAGGTATGCCCGTTTGCGCTAGGAAGGAACCCGGTCGCAAAAATGGCCACGAGAGGGGCACGAGTCGCTATTCGGCTTGTCCCGGAATAACACGAGTTGGTCACGAATGGAGAGGGGCACGAGTCGCTATTCGGCTTGTCCCGGAATAACACGAGTTGGTCACGAATGAACAACTTGCTCAAATGCTGCTGCTTCACGTTGTCTTCATGATGCGAGGTTTCCTGATTTACATAAACAAACATGGTTGCAGATCATTTGGCACTATTTTATATATAGGGCGATTCACGCAGGCTTTGTATTCCTACACAGTTTCTAAATTTCCTGTATAGTGAATAGCAATACATATGAAACTTAGTTTATTCTAAGATTGACATTTTATGACAAATAGATTATTACCCTCGCGTGTTTTGTAATATTGTTTGTTTGCTTGTTTGTTTGTTGTTTAACGCCGCACTCAGCAATATTCCAGCTACATGTACATGACGGCGGTCTGTAAATAATCCAGTCTGGACCAGACAATCCAGTGATTGACATCATGGCATGCTTTAACCAAGTCTTCGAGCCAGACCACCCGATCCCGTTAGTCGCCTTTTAGGACAAGTATAGTCGTCTGTTTCCAAATAGTAAATAACATATATTATTCTTTAAACACGCCCGGCTAATAATATCTGATATCTGATTTGCCTTCCCCCTCCCCGCTCATCCCCATCCCCTTCCCCCTCTCCCTTCAACCCTCCCGAGCAAGTCAGCTGTTGACTGCATGTCCCCCTTCCAAGGTCCTGCCACCACTTTCCTGTCCACGTGCTTAGGGGGACACCTGCATCCGCCTCAATTGCTTCAAGTGCCCGGAGTCCAAACGATTGTTTTATTCTGAACGGAGACTCGGGTCATTGTTTCAGTGTTAAAGTTGAATATTGTCATCCGGCCTCGTAGCATCTCTTCAATGGCCCCTCTGACTCAGAGGACAGGAGGACAACTGCCAGGGGGGTGGAAAGCTGGTTGGTGTGAGGGTGGGGTGGGGGGTGGAGGCTGGAAAGCTGGTTCGTGTTGGGGTGGGGTGGTAGTGACGGGTGGGGGCTGGGAAGAGCAGGTTGGTGTTGGGGTGTCGTGGGGTGACGGGTGGGGTAGGGTGGGGGTTGGAGAAGCAGGTTCGGTTTTGGGGTAGCGTGGGGCGAGGGGTGGGGGCTAGAGAAGCAGGTTGGGTTTTGGGGTAGCGTGGGGCGAGGGGTGGGGGTTGGAGAAGCAGGTTGGTTTTTGGGGTAGCGTGGGGCGAGGGGTGGGGGCTAGAGAAGCAGGTTGGGTTTTGGGGTAGCGTGGGGCGAGGGGTTGGGGATAGAGAAGCAGGTTGGGTTTTGGGGTAGCGTGTGGCGAGGGGTGGGGGTAGAGAAGCAGGTTGGGTTTTGGGGTAGCGTGGGGCGTGGGGTGGGGGCTAGAGAAGCAGGTTGGGTTTTGGGGTAGCGTGGGGCGAGGGGTGGGGGTTGGAGAAGCAGGTTGGGTTTTGGGGTAGCGTGGGGCGAGGGGTGGGGGTTTGAGAAGCAGGTTGGTTTTTGGGTTAGCGTGGGGCGAGGGGTGGGGGATAGAGAAGCAGGTTGGGTTTTGGGGTAGCGTGGGGCGAGGGGTGGGGGGTAGAGAAGCAGGTTTGTTTTTGGGTAGCGTGGGGCGAGGGGTGGGGGATAGAGAAGCAGGTTGGGTTTTGGGGTAGCGTGGGGCGAGGGGTGGGGGATAGAGAAGCAGGTTGGGTTTTGGGGAAGCGTGGGGCGAGGGAAGGGTGATAGAGAAGCAGGTTGGGTTTTGGGGTAGCGTGTGGCGAGGGGTGGGGGATAGGGAAGCAGGTTGGGTTTTGGGTGTAGCGTGTGGCGAGGGGTGGGGGATAGAGAAGCAGGTTGGGTTTTGGGGTAGCGTGTGGCGAGGGGTGGGGGATAGAGAAGCAGGTTGGGTTTTGGGGTAGCGTAGGGCGAGGGGTGGGGGCTAGAGAAGCAGGTTGGGTTTTGGGGTAGCGTGGGGCGTGGGGTGGGGGTTTGAGAAGCAGGTTGGTTTTTTGGGTAGCGTAGGGCGAGGGGTGGGGGATAGAGAAGCAGGTTGGGTTTTGGGGTAGCGTGGGGCGAGGGGTGGGGGCTAGAGAAGCAGGTTGGGTTTTGGGGTAGCATGGGGCGAGGGGTGGGGGTTGGAGAAGCAGGTTGGTTTTTGGGGTAGCGTGGGGCGAGGGGTGGGGGTTGGAGAAGCAGGTTCGGTTTTGGGGTAGCGTGGGGCGAGGGGTGGGGGCTAGAGAAGCAGGTTGGGTTTTGGGGTAGCGTGGGGCGAGGGGTGGGGGTTGGAGAAGCAGGTTGGTTTTTGGGGTAGCGTGGGGCGAGGGGTGGGGGCTAGAGAAGCAGGTTGGGTTTTGGGGTAGCGTGGGGCGAGGGGTTGGGGATAGAGAAGCAGGTTGGGTTTTGGGGTAGCGTGTGGCGAGGGGTGGGGGGTAGAGAAGCAGGTTGGGTTTTGGGGTAGCGTGGGGCGTGGGGTGGGGGCTAGAGAAGCAGGTTGGGTTTTGGGGTAGCGTGGGGCGAGGGGTGGGGGTTGGAGAAGCAGGTTGGGTTTTGGGGTAGCGTGGGGCGAGGGGTGGGGGTTTGAGAAGCAGGTTGGTTTTTGGGTTAGCGTGGGGCGAGGGGTGGGGGATAGAGAAGCAGGTTGGGTTTTGGGGTAGCGTGGGGCGAGGGGTGGGGGGTAGAGAAGCAGGTTTGTTTTTGGGTAGCGTGGGGCGAGGGGTGGGGGATAGAGAAGCAGGTTGGGTTTTGGGGTAGCGTGGGGCGAGGGGTGGGGGATAGAGAAGCAGGTTGGGTTTTGGGGAAGCGTGGGGAGAGGGAAGGGTGATAGAGAAGCAGGTTGGGTTTTGGGGTAGCGTGTGGCGAGGGGTGGGGGATAGGGAAGCAGGTTGGGTTTTGGGTGTAGCGTGTGGCGAGGGGTGGGGGATAGAGAAGCAGGTTGGGTTTTGGGGTAGCGTGTGACGAGGGGTGGGGGATAGAGAAGCAGGTTGGGTTTTGGGGTAGCGTAGGGCGAGGGGTGGGGGCTAGAGAAGCAGGTTGGGTTTTGGGGTAGCGTGGGGCGAGGGCTGGGGGTTGGAGAAGCAGGTTGGGTTTTGGGGTAGCGTGGGGCGAGGGGTGGGGGTTTGAGAAGCAGGTTGGTTTTTTGGGTAGCGTAGGGCGAGGGGTGGGGGATAGAGAAGCAGGTTGGGTTTTGGGGTAGCGTGGGGCGAGGGGTTGGGGATAGAGAAGCAGGTTGGGTTTTGGGGTAGCGTGTGGCGAGGGGTTGGGGATAGAGAAGCAGGTTGGGTTTTGGGGTAGCGTGGGGCGAGGGGTGGGGGATAGAGAAGCAGGTTGGGTTTTGGGGTAGCGTGTGGCGAGGGGTTGGGGATAGAGAAGCAGGTTGGGTTTTGGGGTAGCGTGTGGCGAGGGGTGGGGGATAGAGAAGCAGGTTGGGTTTTGGGGTGGCGTGGTTCGAGGGGTGGGGGATAGAGAAGCAGGTTGGGTTTTGGGGTAGCGTGGGGCCAGGGGTAGGGGATAGAGAAGCAGGTTGGGTTTTGGGGTAGCGTGTGGCGAGGGGTGGGGGGTAGAGAAGCAGGTTGGGTTTTGGGGTGGCGTGGGGCGAGGGGTGGGGGAAAGAAAAGCAGGTTGGGTTTTGGGGTAGCGTGGGGCGAGGGGTGAGGGATAGAGAAGCAGGTTGGGTTTTGGGGTAGCGTGTGGCGAGGGGTGGGGGATAGAGAAGCAGGTTGGGTTTTGGGGTAGCGTGGGGCGAGGGGTGGGGGTTGGAGAAGCAGGTTGGTTTTTGGGGTAGCGTGGGGCGAGGGGTGGGGGCTAGAGAAGCAGGTTGGGTTTTGGGGTAGCGTGGGGCGAGGGGTGGGGGCTAGAGAAGCAGGTTGGGTTTTGGGGTAGCGTGTGGCGAGGGGTGGGGGCTGGAGAAGCAGGTTGGGTTTTGGGGTAGCGTGGGGCGTGGGGTGGGGGCTAGAGAAGCAGGTTGGGTTTTGGGGTAGCGTGGGGCGAGGGGTGGGGGTTGGAGAAGCAGGTTGGGTTTTGGGGTAGCGTGGGGCGAGGGGTGGGGGTTTGAGAAGCAGGTTGGTTTTTGGGTTAGCGTGGGGCGAGGGGTGGGGGATAGAGAAGCAGGTTGGGTTTTGGGGTAGCGTGGGGCGAGGGGTGGGGGGTAGAGAAGCAGGTTTGGTTTTGGGTAGCGTGGGGCGAGGGGTGGGGGATAGAGAAGCAGGTTGGGTTTTGGGTGTAGCGTGTGGCGAGGGGTGGGGGATAGAGAAGCAGGTTGGGTTTTGGGGAAGCGTGGGGCGAGGGAAGGGTGATAGAGAAGCAGGTTGGGTTTTGGGGTAGCGTGTGGCGAGGGGTGGGGGATAGGGAAGCAGGTTGGGTTTTGGGTGTAGCGTGTGGCGAGGGTTGGGGGATAGAGAAGCAGGTTGGGTTTTGGGGTAGCGTGTGGCGAGGGGTGGGGGATAGAGAAGCAGGTTGGGTTTTGGGGAAGCGTGGGGCGAGGGAAGGGTGATAGAGAAGCAGGTTGGGTTTTGGGGTAGCGTGTGGCGAGGGGTGGGGGATAGGGAAGCAGGTTGGGTTTTGGGTGTAGCGTGTGGCGAGGGTTGGGGGATAGAGAAGCAGGTTGGGTTTTGGGGTAGCGTGGGGCGAGGGGTTGGGGATAGAGAAGCAGGTTGGGTTTTGGGGTAGCGTAGGGCGAGGGGTGGGGGCTAGAGAAGCAGGTTGGGTTTTGGGGTAGCATGGGGCGAGGGCTGGGGGTTGGAGAAGCAGGTTGGGTTTTGGGGTAGCGTGGGGCGAGGGGTGGGGGTTTGAGAAGCAGGTTGGTTTTTTGGGTAGCGTAGGGCGAGGGGTGGGGGTTTGAGAAGCAGGTTGGTTTTTTGGGTAGCGTAGGGCGAGGGGTGGGGGGATAGAGAAGCAGGTTGGGTTTTGGGGTAGCGTGGGGCGAGGGGTTGGGGATAGAGAAGCAGGTTGGGTTTTGGGGTAGCGTGGGGCGAGGGGTGGGGGATAGAGAAGCAGGTTGGGTTTTGGGGTAGCGTGGGGCGAGGGCTGGGGGATAGAGAAGCAGGTTGGGTTTTGGGGTAGCGTGGGGCGAGGGGTGGGGGATAGAGAAGCAGGTTGGGTTTTGGGGTAGCGTGTGGCGAGGGGTTGGAGATAGAGAAGCAGGTTGGGTTTTGGGGTAGCGTGTGGCGAGGGGTGGGGGATAGAGAAGCAGGTTGGGTTTTGGGCTGGCGTGGTTCGAGGGGTGGGGGATAGAGAAGCAGGTTGGGTTTGGGGGTAGCGTGGGGCCAGGGGTGGGGGATAGAGAAGCAGGTTGGGTTTTGGGGGTAGCGTGTGGCGAGGGGTGGGGGGTAGAGAAGCAGGTTTGGTTTTGGGGTGGCGTGGGGCGAGGGGTGGGGGAAAGAAAAGCAGGTTGGGTTTTGGGGTAGCGTGGGGCGAGGGGTGAGGGATAGAGAAGCAGGTTAGGTTTTGGGGTAGCGTGTGGCGAGGGGTGGGGGATAGAGAAGCAGGTTGGGTTTTGGGGTAGCGTGGGGCGAGGGGTGGGGGCTGAAGAAGCAGGTTGGGGTTAGGGGTGGCGTGAGGGTTGGGGGCTGGAGAAGCAGGTTGGGGTTTGGGGTGGCGTGAGGTTTGGGGGCTGGAGAAGCAGGTTGGTGCTGGAGTAGGGTGAGGGTTGGAACTGGAGAAGCAGGTTGTTTTTGTTTTGTTGTTTGGGTTTTTTTTAGGTGTGTGTGTGGGGGGGGGGGGGGGGGTGAGGGGTTGGGCTGGTAGTAGCAGGTTGGGGTTGTTTTGGGTTGTTGTTTTTTTTTTTTGGGGGGGGGTACAAGAACAGACGTTACTCGCTAACGTTTTCTTTGACGTCGGGGCGCCCATGTTATTTCCCCATCTCAACGGAACCACCTCAACTCTTTTATGTTTAGATTTATGCATAAATATACAGTGACAAAAAACAACAAACATGGAGGTTTCAGACGTTTACCACTTCAGTAAAACCCACGAGCACGGGTATGGTGCTGACAAACCTAGAAACATAATTGGGGCGAACCGGGATTCGGACCCAAAATCATAGGTTTCTGGCGTGCCAAAGGGACGCAACACTGCACAGCGAATCGCGGCGCCTTAGACAACTGGGCCACCCGTGCCCCCGACTTGTTTGAGAAGTAGGTTAAGATATATGGATGAACAACTTTTTTATTACAATTAATGTCAAGTATACATTATCTTGAATCAACATTACAATTAATTTGCACTTGGAATTGACGGAACTATTTTTTAAATATTTCGACAAGTGAATGATTTCAGATTTTGTAAGAAAACATGTGTCGCCAGCGGGGTTCGAACCCCCCATCGTTTGATTTGTGGACATGTGCTTGTCGATCTCAGCTACCGCGACATATGAAAGAATGGTGTGAAATAACTATAAAATATATGTATGGTGCTTAACAGCCCTAAAATAATATGCATATGTATATAATGTTGTGTTAGAACAGGTTGCCTATAGCAATGTTCATATTCACAGTAATTAGATCAACCTTCAGGTAAACATATATATATCCTTGCTCTGGGCTCGATAATTCCTATTATCCCCGTCAGCATGTATATTTACAATGTGCAAGGGTTTGATAAAATACTCGTCGAGGGCCCCATGACATGAAGAGCCGTGTACCATGCAATGTAAGTATCAGCTCGCGACGGAGCTTGGTGCACGTGCAACGGCGACAGAGAACGTATTCCTCGTGCATCACGCAAGGGCGACTCACACAGTATAAATACAGTCTACAAAGAGTTCCAGTTTAGTTTTTCAAATATTTTCCACAAGAGAAAATATTTTGTCAAAGTTTAAAAGTAGGGATGGGTTTTAAGTAGGGGATTTTTCTGCTCCATTATTTTTCATTCCCCTCGACATTGGAGGTATGCATGTGTGTATTATAATAACTTCATATTTGATTTTTTTTATTTCATTAAATTCTAACTGATGTATGTACAAATATATCAGATATGAAATATAACTTTGACGTGGTTGTTGGTACGGACAGACTGGTCGAAACGAGACGTCAGATGCTCTGCTTCTCTACGTTGTTGGTCAGGTCTTAGATTTTCGAAACGATCCCAGCCCTAAAATTATCGTAAAGTTATCGTAAGAAAATCGTAGGCTATCGTAGCCTATTTTCTAAACTATCGTAGCCCTAAGATATCTTAAGTTTGTCGTAAATCTAAGATAGCCCTTTTCCTGTCGTAAGTTTATTTTATCTTCATCCAAGATGGCGGCATACTTTGCTCTGGACATTTTTCATGATGAAGATGACAATGATTTGATGACAAGACCGAGAATATTCCGAGACAGAACTCGTCCCCTCGAGACGCTTGACGACTTCGATCTATTCTTCCGCTACAGATAGGTGTCGTAGCTCTGAGCGATCTGCGACAGGTTTACGATTGTTTCGAAAATTTATCTTATCTTAGTCTTAAGATATCTTATCTTTGAACGTAAGTAGTTAAGATTTATCTTAGCTAAGCTCGTTTCGAAAATCTAAGCACAGGGCGTTAACTGGATATGAACGTCCACTTTTCAGCCTTGCCGACCTCGGCTGGAATTCTGGAGTTATATTTTGGCTGGACTTACGAGTCTATGCATAGTTCAATCAAAATCGATCAACGATCTGAGTGGTCAATAGGAGGGACATAGAAGGGACATAACTTGTAATAGCCACTATAAATTCCAGCCTAGTTAGGCAAGGGTGGAAACTGGACGTTTATATTCAGTTAACGCTCTTTCCTTGGGAAGATAACTTTTCTCCAGCCTGGGTCAGATGAAACAGACAACCCCGAAGTCGGACATATGACACTACGAGGCAAAGAAGTTTCAAATCCAGTACAATAGTCTGGACACGAAGGGCGCCTAAGGTACTACATCCACCACCGTCTTGGTGCGTCCTTTTGTCAACTTTCATCCGGCTAGACATTGGAATACAGAAGAGCGGAACCATTTTCATAATCTGCCCCGAACGAACAAAGCCTTGGACTGACAGAAGCTAATAAAATGAACGTTTAACTACTGTGAGTGAGTGAGTATGGTTTTACGCCGCTTTTAGCAATATTCCAGCAATATCACGGCGGGGGACACCAGAAATGGGCTTCACACATTGTACCCATGTCGGGAATCGAACCCGGGTCTTTGGCGTGACGAGCAAACGCTTTAACCACTAGGCTACCCTACCGCCCCTTAACTACTGTGAACGTGTCATCGCGGTTCCACTGTTTGGTCCGGCAAGCAACTTCTTTTATTCTTTGTCAGGACGTTTCAGAGCTACTTCTTGCTCCTTCATCAGATGAATTCTTCTATGCTTATAACAGCACACAGTGTAGACACAGTTTGTGGATAATGCCTATCAAACAATTCAACAGCACACAATGCTACGGAAGCCTTTTAGGGCCATTTGATTTTTAATTTTTTCGATACTATCTTGAATTTTCAAGATAGTAAGTTGAAATTTCAAGATAGAGAAGTTGAAATTTCAAGATAGAGAAGTTGATATTTCAAGATTATTCACTTCAAACGTATTTTTACATCTTAGGATGTACAAAACTTAGTATTTTGAAATTTCAACTTAGTATCTTGAAATTTCAACTTAGTATCTTGAAATTTCAACTTAATATCTTGAAATTTCAAGATAGTATTTTGAAATTTCAACTTCTCAATCTTAGTATCTTGAAATTTCAACTTAATATCTTGAAATTTCCAGATAGTATCTTGAAATTTCAACTTAGTAAAAAAGAAAAAAACAAATGGCCCTAAAAGGCTTCCGTACAATGCTTATATCATTTCAATAATAATCCCGGCTGGCTTCTATACTTTATTATCGAATTCTTTCATCTCAAGTTTCTTCGTGTATCCAAAACATCAAGTGAAATTTATGTATACAAAATGTGAATGACTTTCCTCTCCAGAAATGGCCGTTTTCTTTGACCTTTGTGGCCGTTTTCTCTGACCTTCATGGCCGTTTTCTTTTACCTTTGTGGCTGTATCCCGTACAATCGACTCTGATTGTACTTTTCGCAGAAGGTGTGTCTCATCACGAAATATTGACCCAGATCATCTACTACCCAGTGACCCAGTGACCCAGTGACCCAGTGACAAGCCCTGCTCAACCGGGTCTGTGTCAGTGCCGCGCTGAATCAAGTTCACCGGAAACACCTTACATCTCTTCCTCTGTCAGACATAGACGCATCTCAGTTACCCACTGAAACCAGGCGCCTGTATATCACTGTATTTCCTTGCCTGTAGTTTTTAACATCCGTCCACTTTACGCAGTTTTTTTCATATTTCTGATTTTTTTTCCACAAATGATCTATTTCTGCGTCCCGTAGCGTGCAAGAAACCTATGATTGTGGGTTCGAATCCCAGATTCTCTCTGATTGCTTCATCTTTCTTCAGCACCATGTCTGTTCTCCTGGGTCTCATCGGAGACCTGCATCACTTCAGGGTGTCCTTCTATCATGATTCGCTGTGCAGAGTTGCGTCCCTTGGGCACGCCAGGAACCTATGATTGTGGGTTGGAATCCGGTTCGCCCCGAATCTAGGTTTGTCAGCACCATGCCCGTGCTCGTGGGTTTCACCGAATTGGTAAACGTCTGAGACCTGCAACACTTCGGGCTTTCCTCCCACATTAAGCTGACACGCCGTGATATGACTGGAATACTGTTAAAAGCGGCGTTGAACCCAACTCACTCACTCACTCACAACACATCATGATTAAACTGACAGCTCACCTGCAGTTATCCACCACCACCACCACACACACACACACACGTACGTTCACC